CCCTCGGGGTTTTAGGCATTTAATCATGGTCAGATGAGCATATTTTGATACCTCATTACAATGTGACACTGGCAGTTAACTACTTTTTTTTCTTTCTTGCTCTCTTTCTTTCTTTTTCTCTTTAATATACTTTTTCAAAAAAGTGGGTGGTAGGGGGGGGGGTGGGGGGTTCGAGGATCCCAATCCCCGCCGTTCCGCGAGCCCTGACATGTAGGCATCTCAAGAAGCATTTCCTTGCCTGGCTGTAAATTTAGGAGTTTGTCAGTTTCCAACAAACGCATAAAAAAAGTATAATATACTTTAAATTATGTCATTTCAGCATTATTTTGTAAATCACCGTTATGGAATTAGAAATAAACCACGTTTGAATTTTATTTCCCCCCCCCCCGATCTACACCTTCTTGGCGGGAAAATTGCAACTGATATCCCTTACCTTTCTTCATTCTCTTTCTTTTTCTTTCCCTTTCTCTCCTCTTTTCCTTTCCCTTCCCTTCCTTCTTTCTCTTTTATGTTTGCTGGAGGAGGGCAAGGTCATTTTGGCCCCACCCCGCTCCACACATTGTTGGCGGGATTAACCGCAACTGATCTCCCTTTCTTTTCTACTTTTTCTTTCTTCTTCCTCTTTTTTGTTCCCTTTTAGCTCTCCTCTTTTAAGGCAAGGACCTTTTGTCCCCCCCCCCCCTCCGATCCACAATCTGTTGGCGGGAAAATTGCAACTGATATCCCCCTTCTTTTGTTTTCTTCTTCCTCTTTTTTCCTTCCCTTTATCTCCTCTTCTTTTTTTATCTTTCCCTTTCCTTCCTTCTATTTTTATTTTTTGATTGGGGGGAGGCAACAGCCTGGGAGGCAAGTCCTTTTGCCCCACCTCCCCGATCTCCTTCATCCCTCTTTTCCTTTCTTCTTCGTCTTCTTTTTTCCCCTTTCTCTCCTCTTTCCCTTTCCCTTCTTTTCATTCTCTCTCTGTCTCCTTTTTTTTGCGGGGGGGGGGGGCAAGGCCCGCTCGGCCCCCCCCCCCCACTGGATCCGCGCCTGGAGTTAAGATTGACTTAGGATCTTTGTGAAACACCCCCCTGGTTGATTACGATTATTTGATTTAAAAAAAAAAATGTAAAATACAAACAAATATGACTGCAAAAACTTACGAAAAACCAACTCAAGAGCATTCTTAATACCTTAGTGTATCTCCCACATAAATCATGATGCTTGGATGACTTAATATGTCATTTGAATTTCCTGAGGTTGGTAGGTTTTTTTCTCGAAAGTCTTTGCAATCGTGCTAAACAATAGATTTTAATCAATAATACTTACCGGCAACATACCACAGGGATATATTTAGCGATAGAAGAAATCCTGTCATGGCGCTAGAAGATCGAAAATGTTCTTGCAAAGCAGGCATTAAAATACCTAATGAAATCTCAGTTCCCTCCTCAATCACCTTAAGACAGAAACGAGACATAAAGACAGTGTTTCGCCAACTATTCTTTTTAGCGATCATTATTTTTGAAATTTTGTTTCGTGTGTTTAAAAGAGAATGTTCGCGAAATGCGTGTGCCTAAGAGATGCAAGCTTTTACGTGAATGTACTCGATTGTCAACTTACTCATCGCGATGATTTCATATTGAGCTATTATTGAATAACCGAACCGTTAGCGATTTATCGGCATCATAACTCCCAGATACGTATGAACTAAGTAAAAATCCGACACATTTGAGGGAGGTTTGTCTTGTTTTAAAACAGATTTTTATGAAAGTCATATTGTTCGATTATGGGTGAAGATGAAATATTGTGGGATTCGGTCATTGGGATGTGACGTTTCAACGATCTAGAATGAAATACGTCATTCTACGCAATTAGTATTGTTCTATTAATGCTCGGGTGAAGTTCCCCCATGCCACCCCCTCACCGGGGCGCGTCTTTTTTTAACCTTACCTTGCCATCCTATCGCTGCATTTGATTGGCTCAATATGAATATATATATATATATATATATATATATGAATAATATATCCATGAAACGCACGCACACAGAATCCGATGCGATAATTCATCAAATAATGAGATTTCGAACAAAAAATACAAGTGCAAAGCTATGTTTATACAAATAAATGATATTGCGAGAAAAAACGGGAGGCTTACCGTAAACGAATGACTACGCAGGACATAAATTGTCCATAATTATTGATCTCCACCACACCTTACCACCGCAAATATTTATACGGGTATAGTCAAATATTAATATGCAGCGCAAGGATGGCAAGGTTAAGTTTAAAAATTTTGCCACAGGAGCGTGGGGGAGGGGGGGGGGTTGGATGGGATTGCATCTCACCTGCCATTACTAAATACTTATTACTACCCCCATGTAGTGTCATTAACGATTTTAACTCTGAGATACAAAATGTGTTTAGGTCCCCTGTAACAACTTACAAGTAATGGTATTTCCTTTAAATTAACCAAATCTCTTTTAATCAATCATGACTTTACAATAAATGGATACTTACGAATAATTTCATGTTTCAGATAGATACATGGTTTTATTTCCGTCATATAAAAATAATATACGATCGCAAGAAAACAAAAAATAACAAAAATTTTAAACAAATATATAATATAAAGTTTACATAAGCAAGAAAATCATATTTCATTAAAATGATAAACAACATGAAGAGCGACAGAATGTCAAACGAAATAAACCAACACAATAAACTACTGGGTAGCCCACTTTCAGATGCCCTTGTATAGTGCAACCGGTCTTCCAAAGGGACCAGAAATCAAAAGAAAAAGAAGTAGTAGAAAAGGGAGAAGAAGATGGAAAAAAAACAAAGACATAACAGAACAAAACAAGAAGAGCATTAGTATTTTTAAATATCTATCAAGGTCTCACGTTATTAATTTAATTAGTTGCGATATAGAGATAAGGAAGGAGAAATGCGCATTAGAAAGGAAATATGCATGAGAGGGCACAATATAATATATCAAACTACATTTTGAGACAGCGTTTAAAAAATGAACTTGTTTTTGTTTTTTAAGTTTAAAAAGAAATATAATAATTATATTTATACATAAATTAACCTAGTTTGAAAAAAAGTTGTTTGACTGACATGAGCGCTATACAAGAACCCACTATTATTATTATTATTATTATTACCTTTGGGATCTTTTCAAACAAATAAAGATTCTGTATTACAATAGAATTTCATTCATGGACTCCTGTAAATCGAAAAGAATTGGTTCTTATTGTTACGGGTAACGCGTAATGGGAAAATTGTCGTAAGAGAAATTCGTTTCATGTAAAGCATAAATAGGAGTTTTTGAAAAGGACAAAGGCAATCTGAATTTTTTGGAGAAAATATACAATTTTTTAGACATTGGTATATACCCCTACATTGTGATTACAATTATCAGGGATGATTTCAATATTTGTTTCACTTTATACACCATACAAGATATTGCTTAAGCATCATGCTTCGCAGTTGGGTTTAAGTTGTCTAATAAATTGTTGGCGAGCGAGGAAAATGTTAAGATGTGTGAGGTCGCAGTGCGAAAAATTACATCTTATAAAGAGGAAAGAACCCAATCCTAATGGGGTTATAAGCACATTCTCATAACGGAAGTCTGAAAAGACCTTTGATAATAGATGCGTGCGAGCGTAGCGAGTGAGCTTTGGGGGAAATTGCTCTTAGTCGCTTGAAATTAGCTAGGGCGCGTTTATCTAATGATGAGAGGAAAAGGGGAAACTTATCAGGAAGAAAAGGAGCATTACCAAAGTACAAAGAGTAATTATCAGAGGTGAAAATGGGAAGCTTTGGAAAGTTTAGAATAAATGTTTTCAGTTTTTAATTTTCTCAATATACAACTTCCTGACCCTCCTTTCTTCTCTATTTTTTTCCTTCTTTTTTCTCTTCTTTTCTTTTTCTTTTACTTCTGTTTATTTTTTCGTTCTATGTTGGTGTGTGTTTTGTATACTGTTGTACTTGTTATGTGTTTAAATGTTGTATGGGGCGGGGGTAGTAGGTGTTTTCTAGCTCTTTCTCTTTTCATATATATAATTTTGTTTGTCTCTAAAGGAAATTGAAGAGGAATATAGGTTAACAGAATATTGTGGAAAAGAAATAATTTGAGATAATTTTGTTTATGTGAATATTTTTCATCTGTAAATGTGTAACTTTTGTATGTAAATGTAAAAGTTCATTGGCAAATTTATTAAGACCTATGTTAAAATTATGTTGTTACTTTGTATACAATGTTATAAATAATGTACAATTTTTCTTTATGAGAGAAATGAGTAAAAACCTATGAAAAAAAAAACAACAACATCGTGTATTATTCACGCTGATAAATGAGGAATCGACAAACTGTATGAATTATGCATTTTTTCGTGGCTTTATTTAACATTGGTTACTGTCATTTTTACATGTATCATTTAACCATGACCGTGTCGGTACATGAATTCACACCAATATGATAATTGTATTATAATTGTATTACACACCGATTTGAGTATCCAACCCAAATACAGAACTAGTGCTGGAATCTATGCTGAAAAATGAGGAAAAATCTGCACCCCATACATAACCCTTGAAATCAAAATATGTGAAATCCAAGCGTGTAGCCAGAGAAGGGGGAACCACGGCTAGAAACCCCTTCTCGTATTGAAGATTGGGTTTTCGCCCTCACCTCATCCGAAAGGGGGTCATGGAGTGACCTCGGGGGGGGGGGGGGGGGGGTCAACACGCGCATCGCGTACTTTAACGATTGAGACAGGTTGTACGATTGAAATTAGTGCATGCTGTAGGATGTCGCTTCTGGCTTGGTGGATCTGGAGGGTCATGTCATGGTTCTTCCGTTTTTGAAATTTGTTGGAAAAAAAATTATACGTTAGGGAAAACAGACATGTTGGGCTTGTTGTGTACTTTCTTGCCACTTTCAAAAGTTTATTTTGACCGACAGTTCACGGAATTAGAATCGTTCGTGTCGCGATCTTGTTCTGTCATTTTTCCTTTTTTATTTGTCTTATCGACGCAGCCACTCATCATGCAGGCATTTCACCATTCTTGGTAATCTAAATATCACTCTGATTCGCGTTTTTTCGATCGTAATGAAGGTCAACAATTAATTGTACTGCGTTCTACAGGCTGAATTGGTAAAGGTAAGCATTATGTTTATGCAAGGTCCTTGTTTTCAAAAGCACAAATGAACCAAGTGCAGGCGGATTACGTTCTGTCATTTGAGTACCATGCCCCACCTATTGCGTTACATGTATGTAGACCATGATGTAGACTTTAGACTGTAAATGATGCTGTGAATGTCTGTGGAGTTGTTCGTACTTTAATCAGGAGTATGAGGGTCAAAAACTCAAAAAGGATTGAAAGTGAACTTGATTGTTTCCGTGATTAGCTAGCTCTTTCTGTGATGATTTAAGACACCTTCTATTAATAGTAGGGTGTCTGATCGCGCACCCGATGTTGTGTGCTAAAATTCTTCCCATAAAGATTACACGCATCCCTATGCAGTCTACGTGCATTGCGCGACCATGCAAAAAAAGTCAATTTTTTTTTTCAATTCGAGATTCAAACCTTTATCCATTGTGATCCTGAAGGTGATAATCAATAAATGAGGTGTCATATGAAAGATCAGGTGAATTCCAATATTTCCAAAGGGGCGGCGTAGCCCCCGAAATTCTAAAAATATCTTGGTCAAAACAGCAATTTAAACATTGTGTCCTGGCTAACTCTGAGGTTTGTCACTTTTGAGATATGACGCCCCGATCGATAAGTAGTCCCAGTCCTAAGGAACAATTCTATGTGCTTATATTTTCGCTAGCCCCCAGGGATCACAATTGATAACAGTTTAAAAATACCCTTCTCGCTATTTGGTGGATCAGCTAATTAGGGGGCGTGTGCTCCGCTCAGTCCAAACCATGGTTACATCGCGTAACATCTCCGCGCACGAACGAAACCCCAAATTCAATTACACATTATAGTGAATGAAAATATGGTTGGCAATTCGCGCGATAAACCCGGAAGTGAATACACGTTATAGTCAATAGCAATATCGCGGAGACAACATGTGTTGTCTCCGCGATATTGCCATTGACTACAACGTGTATTCACTTCCGGGTTCTACGGCGCGAATTGCCAACCATACTAGTCAATGGCACATATCGCGGAGACAGCTGTTTGTCTGAATTTAGCAAAACAACATCACTCTGCGTGGACGTCTTTTTCGTTGATTTTGACCAAAATGATATGAATATACCAGCGTTTTGGAGGGGCTGTAACTTTTGATAGAAACATCGGTGAGACTTGAAATTTGAAATGTATTATTCTGATAACATTTTTTATTCAAATATCAAACAAAAAAGGTGAAAAACGATCCCAAATTGAAAATTGAAATATCGTTCCTTCACTCCTTTCGCTTTTGAGTTTCGTTGAAAACTTTTTACGCATCTTTCCCCCTCCCGCACCAGAAAAATATTCCGCATACGGCCCTGAAAAAGACAAATGAAAATTGGAAAATATAAGTGATATAACAAATTTGAACTCTTCGCTGGCGCGAGCTGCTTGCTAGCCTATTTTGTATTAATTGTTTTCACTTGCTCGTCCCCCTGAAAAAAGAAAAAGATAAGCATTGCCTAGAATACAATTGTGCCTGCTCCGACGGGCCCCGACCTGCAACCATGGCAACAATAACACCCAATTTATGTACCAAATGTTACTAAGAGAGACTAATTCATTTTTTCTCGCTTGCTACGCTCGCTTGCGAATAAATGGAATAGACATTGCTTTGAAAACAATTGTGCCCACCCTTGACCTGCAACAATATCATTAAAAATGGAAGTGTTTTTTTGCCCTCTCGCCAAAAAGGAATTGATATCGCGTTAAACGCGATTGCGCCCATCCCGACCTGCACCAATAAAAATAAGTTTATGTATTAATTTCTATTAAAAGAGAATTGATTTTTTTTTGCTTGCTCGCTTTACTCGCTCGCCCAATTGGAATTGACATTTCTAACAAAATATGTGCGCCCCCTTGCCTGCAACAATAATCCCAGTAAATAAGTACCAAACGTTATTTTAAGAGATATTGTTTCCTCGCTCCCCAGAATTGATGAATTGATTGATTTTAGTAATTGATATATGAGTTGATTTGTGTCACCCCGACCTGCAACATAAAGATTTATGTTTATATACCAATTATCGTTGAAAGAAAAGAGTATTTTTGCTCGCTCGCTATACTCTCACTCCCAGATATGTAATTAACATCGCCTTAAGCACGATTGTGCTTGCCCGAACTTGCAGCAAATCAGTATTAAAAAAAAAAAAGGTTTTTTCTACCCAAAATTAAATTAACATTGCCTAATAATAAGTAATACCTGGCTCGCTCGCTCGCCAGAAGTGAAAATTAGCATCGCCTTTTTTTTCTTCGGTCGCTTGCCCCCCCTGACGGAGTACCCCAGATACGCCACTGGTCTATGGACTATTGTATGGTCATATAGTGCAAGGTTATTTCCATATTCAGGATACAATAAGAGAAGCATGGATTAACAAGAAAAATCCAGGATAGACCATAAAGTAGGAAGGGGAAAATGATCAAAAGTTTCGATTCTAAATATATGTCATAAAACCTCAAATATGTAGTATATTTTTGAGGTTCTTTAATAGATATGAACATATATTTGCAAAAAGCCCATGAATCAAATCATCCAGCCTTCCATCTATAATTCTTGAAGCTTTTAAAGGAGAGTCCTTGCAGCAGATATTTCCAAGCTAGATTTGGATTGGATGTGCTGTGACAGCAGGTGATAGTGGAGACGAGAGCGAAACGGTGAAAAAGTTCTATTTACAATAAAAGTGGTAATGTATGGGTAAAAAATAAAAACCACACACTTGAGCTTACAGCATTCCGAAACCTACAGAAACCATGTGATGACAGGAAGGGCTACCACCTTAGAAGTTGCATCTGTTGGGGGCAGTAACTGAGTGTGCAAATTCAATCCTATGTTCACTGATTTTGATATATTTTTTTTTGAGTATTCCAGCAGTGATAGTGTTCATTATCATGCATAGCTATTTAATATGAGTGTCCTTAGCCTTAAATTCAGGATCATGCCATTTTTATATTGTCAAAAGGATTTGTATTATATTATCTTCTGCAGAATTCAAGACATAATCATGAGATCAGTCTCAGTTCAGAAGCTTACCCAGTTGCAGAGTAATGTAGACAAGATCAGAAACATCTGTATCTTGGCACACGTTGATCATGGTAAGACAAATTAACATAAGAACAGGGTTTTTTTGAAGAATTACAACAAGACTTTTAACATTTAAACATACTTTTACACTGATCACTCATTTTTTTCCTTTTTCTGGTAAAAAAAAAAAAAAAAGTTTGCCGACTACTGACAGAACAATTTGTTCTTCATGTGTTGATAATCTAAAGGAGATAGCTTTCTGAATGTGATGATGTAAGTCACCTAATTTTTGTATAATTGTTATTTCACTACCACAATGCATTTTCTCATAAAGATGATATCAATATACTTCATGAATGGGTTGGGGCTAGTCAATGTAACTATTACCAGTAATGATTATTGTTTGATTATTTAATTCCTTAATTTTGGTAACGTATACAAAGAACAAACTTCCAGGAAACGGAGAACAAACAGTTTTAAATACTCAATTCAATTTATGTGACTGTACAGGCAAAACCACCCTTGCTGATGCTCTTATCTCCAGCAATGGAATCATCTCCACTCGTATGGCTGGCAAGCTGAGGTACATGGATAGTCGTGAAGATGAGCAGCTTCGAGGCATTACCATGAAGTCTAGTGCCATCTCTCTCCTCTATAGCAATACTCCAGGTATGGTTCATATATAAACATGTATATACATCCAGTCTTGCTTTCCTTTAGGCCTATGATGGTGATGGTTTTACAGATGGGCTACTTTGGTTATTTAGAGAGGGCTTTAGTATATATCAGTTTCTATTTGCTGGAAGGCAACACATGAATTATATCCCATATCCTGATTTTACCAGCATGCACCTTCTGTACTCTTTTGTTTATGTATTCCTTGTTCAATTTCCACCGTGTGTATTTGAAGGAAATAGCTGGGTGATACTTTTCTGTATCCGAAGTAAGAATACGATTACATTGCATTTTCTTAATGTGACTGTTTTTATGAGTGTACAGCACTTTGAACTTTAACCTGCCCAAAAATGTTATATAATTTTGAGACTAAGAAAAAATTTCCTCTTTTCTTGAAATTATAAGAGGGTTTTTTAATTGTAAAGTTGGATATCACAGAGCAACATTTGTTTAAATCTAAACAATGAGAAATTGAATCTTTGTTAGAAGTCGTTGACACCACATGTTTGTAAATATGTTTGCCTTAAATGGGTTAATATTTTGGTATTTTCATATTTTCGAATTTTCATATTTCTTACATTTTTCTGTAGAAGAGGAATACCTGGTGAATCTGATTGACTCCCCTGGACATGTGGATTTTTCGAGCGAGGTTTCTACTGCTGTCCGTCTGTGTGAGGGAGCCCTAGTGGTCATCGATGTTGTGGAAGGAGTCTGCCCCCAGGTTAGATTTCTTGATGTTGTCTTTTAAAGAGTTGTGATTGATCAAGATTAGTTGCAAGTCATTCAGTCAATCGCACCTGTTTTTAACTGGTCTGCAGCTTCACATCGGTACTGAATGTAGCCAATGTATAATGTCTAACTCGTATTGCAAGATGTGCATTATGAGGCAAATATGATCAGAGCTTTCCAGCTGACAATATATCTTTATGTGCTTGGCAGAAGGACCAGAAACACAATATTTTGTTTTGAAACTCTTTAGATCTGATTCTTAAGTAATAATCTTCACCCCATCACACTATGGACGACATACAGTATTTCATTTCATTTCATTTCATTTATTTTCCACTTCTCATAAAAAACATATAACAATTTACATACAATATCTGATTAAATACAACAAAACAAAACAAGAAAATAACATAACAATAAAATAATTTTAAGCACCTAGAACTTATAATTGAGTATGTGGAGGAGCCAACAAAGGCCATTGACCTGTCAAGGGCTGGTCTCCAGGAATAAATTAAAAATATATTGGTAGGTAAAGAACATAATTTAGTACATAACAAAAGGGAAACAGGCGGTCTGTGTGATGGAAAAGTATACACAAAGAATATATGAGCATAAATAATTCAGGTGGTGTAGTAATTATTTTAAAAAGATCAACATATTTTAACATTTCAAAAGACATTGTTTGTATTTGCCTTTGAAAGAGGCAGGCGAAGGGCTGTTTTTTATGTCATCAGATAATGAATTCCATAGTTGAGGTCCCAAGTGTCGGACCGTCTGTCTGGACGACTCATACTTTAACAATTGAACACGTGGTCTATTGGAATATCTGGTATTGTACTGATGCATTTCAGAGTTTAACATGAACATATTATTAAAAACCTCAGGCAGCAAGTTGTTGAAATATTTGTACATAAATAATGCAGTTTGCAATTTACATATGTCAAAAATATTTAATACTTTAAGTTTCTTAAAAAGAGGATCACTTGGTGTTCTGGGATGAGAGTTAGTTATTGCACGTAGAGCTCTTTTTTGCAATACATATAGCTTATTTATTAAAATATTTGAACATTTCCCCCATACTATATTACAATAAGAAAGGTATGGCAAGATCAATGTGTTATATAAATTGGTTAAAATTCTCAGAGGAATGAAAGGCCTAATTCTATACAATACTCCAATTGCACGTGCTATTTTCCCCATGATTTCATCAATATGACAAGACCAAGTCAGGCTATCATCTACAGCAATTCCAAGAAATTTTATGCAGTATACTTTATCAATCTTATAAAAATTGATGTATATATCCTCAATTTCATCATCAAGATGTCTATTTCTTTTCTTAAACACCATACATTGAGTCTTTTTTGAATTGATCATAAGCTTGTTTGCTGCAAACCATTGGTCAATTTTTGGAATTTCTGTACGAATAATGGCATTTAGTTCATTTATACTTTTCCCTTTTAAAAACAAAGTAGTGTCATCAGCAAATATTGTAGGGCAAATGAGTTGAGTAACATATTGAACATCATTAATGTAAAGCAGAAATAGAAGGGGGCCTAATATAGAACCTTGGGGTACACCTACAGAAATCTTGAGTAAAGACGACTTGATATCATCCAAGTAAACAAACTGACTTCTGTTATTCAAATAGCTTCTTGTCCATTCTAGACATACTCCCCTTATTCCATAATATTCTAATTTTTTTAATAATATGACATGGTTGATACTATCAAATGCTTTAGAAAGGTCAAGGAAAATACTAAAGGCAATATGTTTACTTTCAAAGGCATTATTTATATTATCAATAAATTCTAGTAACGCCAGGGCAGTAGAATGTCCTGAGCGAAACCCAAATTGTCTATTATATAAAATATTATATTTATTTATGAATGACATCAATTTAGTATAAACTAATTTTTCAAAAATTTTGGCAAAAATGGACAAAAGAGAAATAGGTCGATAATTTGAACTTAGATTCTTTTCTCCACCCTTATATATAGGCAAAACTTTCGCTAATTTTAACTTGTCAGGGAAGTGACCACTTTGTAGAGATACATTATAAATATAAGTTAAAGGCAAAGCAATTATATGTATACATTTCTTGAGAACTTTGGAGTCAATATCATCATATCCTGGACTCTTGCCATCTTTTAGTGCTAGTACTATATTTACAACATCGACCGTCCGTATGTCAGAAAAAAATAATGAAGTAGGATAGTCACCATGTAAGTATTTACCTGGATTTATATCATTTGAAGGTATATTTGTATTAATATTTATGCCAACATTAACAAAGTATTCATTTAATAGTTGCGCTATTTGCTTCTGGTCATGTATAATGTTACCATCAATAGATTGCTTGAAATAAAGTAGAAACTCTCACACTGCGTCACGCTGATATATGCTGCATACATGCACCCCCCCCCCTCCCTCCTTCCGGATATGTAAATCATTTGTCAATTCATATATTTGACACCCTCTCGCTAGGCTCCAAATGATGCAATGTGAATTACAAGTAGTAGAAAATTATTCTATGTTATATCCTTCTTTGTAATTCTAAAATTGTCACCAGTTTTTATCTCCTATTATTAAATTGAAATTATCAGCTAACTGTACATGCCCATCTTCATCTATAATTTGGTAGCAATTATTGAATGAAGTTACCTTTAATTTGTTTGAATAAACTTAAATCAGACTTGTGTTATAAATCCTGCCATCCTACAACTAGCCTCGTTGGAGCAATTCAAACAACATTGATCGAATGATTGAAACCAGCAGCGTTATTATAGATATCCAACTTAATCCAAAGGCCTATATTAAAGTTTAAATCAAATATGTTCATTTTTTCCAATACATTATAATCAGACCCATGTTGTCTTACGACAAGCCTGGTTAGAGCACATCAAACCATGCCTGGTCCTGAATAAGATTGACCGGTTGATCAGTGAGCTCAAGTACACACCGATGGAAGCACATCTTCACCTGCAGCAGGTCTTGGAGCAGGTCAATGCTGTCGTAGGAAACCTCTATGCTTCACATGTCCTTGAGAAGACTTCAAGTGTAAGTTTGAAGTTGGACCTTTTCTTGTTTTCGGGCTTGTTTTCCCAGATTGGTTTACAGTGAACCAGATTATGTTCTTGGTCATGAACTTAAGAACAATTTTTATTTGATTTGGGTGCCAGATGATGCCAACAATTACAGGAGATTAAGATTACAAGAATTGATATAAACAAATAATGTACATTTTCCTGTTTTTGATAGCCTATGATCATTTACTTTTCTCAATAATTTTGGCTGGTTGTTTTGTGAGTGAGATTAAAGATAAACTTGAGTTCTGGTAATGCGATTGCATTTTGAAAGAAAAGGTGTGGAATGAATCAGAAAAGTTGATCATATAGCATGTAAGTAATGGTGTGTAATGCAAGGTTCTGGAGTCATCAAAATCATCATAAATTTGGCAGAGTCTTGGTAAAGTAACAATCACTTACACAGAAAGATGTATATGGGATAACACACATGGTGTCGGGGCTAGTACTACCCTGATTTCCTTATCTTTCTATGCTCATTACTCAGCCAGTATACATTTTCTTCCCAAATTGTTTGGCACATGACATTTATTTGTAATCTTGAACATTCAGTGTAAGTTTTGTTAGATTCTGTGAGAATTCATTTTCTTTTTTTACCAGAACTCAAGTTTATCTTTAAGTGAATTAAATTGTATTGTGCAAGAACAAGAAAATTGAACCAATACTAAAGCCACAACAATCTAGTTTTATCCTCATCCAAGTGAAAGAGCAATACAGACTCCAGATTTTCAGAATGTTATTATTTATGGTCATCCTGTAAAATGATGCCAACAAGATGAATAATTAACACTCTCCAGAAAACTGAAGACTCCGTCCAGACAAAAGAAGAAGTGAGTGGTGGAGATGCTAAGGAAGGAGAGGAGCAGGTTTATGATTGGAGCGATGGATTAGAGGACACCGATGACTCTCATATCTACTTCTCACCAGACCAGGGCAATGTGATCTTTGCCAGTGCCTTGGATGGCTGGGGTTTCAGGTATGAAGACATTTCCATTACCATGACATGGAAATACCTGAAGTAGTCATGAACTGCCTTATGAAATTGATTTTCTGAGGCTTTGATAAAGTGATCGGGTCTCTTTTACAGACCATTTAGAAACACAAATTTTCACCGAATCCATGACCTTTGCCACCATCATGTCTTTAATATCAAGAAAGGAGTCGATGATCCCTGTTTCTCTAACACCAAGTATAACAAGTTTGTAAATGGATTCAAAATTGTCCTCAACTGAAGTAATTCTTTACTACTTGTAAGCTTGCATGAGGATTTCCTATTGCTATTAAACAGTTAAGAAAACGGCCAACACTGGGGATTATGAGGAGGAGCATGCATGAATATCACTATGTTTGTAAGCTGTTCTCTGACTCTACTGTGTATCTCAATTTTCTTACAGCATTAACCATTTTGCTGAGATGTATGCAAGCAAATTAGGTGTGAGAGCGGACGTCCTTCGTAAGACTCTGTGGGGAGATTTTTACCTTCATACAAAGTCAAAGAGAATCATGAAAGGAGCTCAGGTATCTATCCTGTTTTTTAATGATTCATGTTGAGAGTTTTTCAAAATGTAACATTTTCAGAGTTTTTTAGCTTAAGAGTTCATGTATACAGCCTCTGCTTTATGTTATGACATTATAGTAAACATTAATTTTGCTAGCTGTCATAGAGACCTCATATTGTTATAACAGGCCTACTCTAAGCTGAAGGCTCTATTGATAATGATGATAATGATGATACTAATGATAATAGTAATGTCAATTTATGTAGCGCAGATACCACATAATACACTCGACTGTGCTGTGGTGAAAAAAAGTCTATATATTGTTAAATTATGGACACAAATCCAAATCTATTCGAAGGCTTCTGAAAACAAGAAGATCTTCAACAAAACCTTTCAAGATAGCGATACTGCCCCCATGTGAATGACATCAGCTGTGTCACCCAATACCATTTGTTGGAATATAATTGTTTTCAAACATCACAGCCCAATCAAGTTAATATATGAATCACTTTTTGAGCTGTATTTGTCTCTTCTAACTCTCTTTCCCTCCCTCCCTCCGACCCTCCCTCTCTCCCTTATGATTTGCTCCATCCAGGCTAAAGCAAAGAAGCCATTGTTTGTGCAGTTTGTTCTGGAGAACATATGGTCACTCTATGAGACAGTCATCGTCAGGAAGTAAGTATAATGCAGTCATAAGGACACAAGTCCCAATACCAGTAACGTTTTGTAAATGACATCACTTTTAACCTTTTCAAGATGTACACTGTGATATCAATACACCCGCATGTATGTAAATGTACAGACTGAATACAGACCTGTTTTTATTTTACTGCTTATTTTAGGCCTGAGTCATCACGGGTTTTGCCGAACCCGGGTTTGACTTGAAAATTTCGGGCGGGGACCGGGTACCCGAAATTTTCACCACTGCACTGACACTAAAAATCGTGTGCATGCAGCGGCGGGAGTTAGACTAAGTTGCTGTTCTAATAATGCGACGGAAAAGACAGTTACTGCTTTCAAAACAATAAAATAATCAATGGAATTAAATTAAGATGCTTTAAAAAATAAATGGATATCGTTTCAGTTGACGGTAGGTGTTTTTATCGCTCTAAAATTGAGGCTGCAAGAAAGGAATCACGCTTCGTGGTACCGATCGGGTGCGTTCAGAAACGGAAGTGGAAATAGATCTATGACCCACTGAAGACAGAGCAAGAAAATGCCACACACAAGACTAAAATGTTGATCAGACTATTGCAATTAAATCGTAATACCAAAGGCATTAATTTAATTGTCAAAATATATCCACAACATAATGGTTTACCCTTGATAGTTTGATGAAGGAAAATAAATTAAAGCTCTTGAAATAACATCGAAGTGCCTTTCGTTCGTTCTGAAAATGCGTGTATAACGGCAAGCAGAAGTTACGAGACAAGCTTGATATGCACGTTTAAATCCCTACACCGTCATCCGACCTGATCGGAACAATAAGCATTAAACCAATTAAAAAACATCACGGAAGACTTTAAGGGACTCCAATTCAACAAAATTACCGTAAAATAATTATTTGCTTTGACAAATAATACTATATATATTCATAATATCTTACAGAAATAATGATATTTCATGAGCTACGTACTCGATATCGAGTTCAGCTAGCCATCATTTTGAAATGAGACGTAGTTGTCATGCAGTAGACTGTAGAGGGCAGTATGCAGAAGAGAGAGGAAAAAGCGCGGGCCTGAGATCACGTGATATTCACGTGACTATTACGTGATTTTTTTTCCCTCTCTAGCTGCGAGCTGCCGCATTCTGCGCTGCATGCATGACAACTACGTCTCATTTCAAAATGATGGCTAGCTGAACTCGATATCGAGTACGTAGCTCATGAAATATCATTATTTCTGTAAGATATTATGAATATCTATAGTATTATTTGTCAAAGCAAATAATTATTTTACGGTAATTTTGTTGAATTGGAGTCCCTTAAAGTCTTACGTAATGTTTTTTAATTGGTTTAATGCTTATTGTTCCGATCAGGTCGGATGACGGTGTAGGGATTTAAACGTGCATATCAAGCTTGTCTCGTAACTTCTGCTTGCCGTTATACACGCATTTTTTAGAACGAACGAAAGGCACTTCGATGTTATTTCAAGAGCTCTAATTTATTTTCCTTCATCAAACTATCAAGGATAAACCATTATGTTGTGGATATATTTTGACAATTAAATTAACGCCTTTAGTATTACGATTTAATTGCAATAGTCTGATCAATATTTTAGTCTTGTGTGTGGCATTTTCTTGCTCTGTCTTCAGTGGGTCATAGATCTATTTCCACTTCCGTTTCTGAACGCACTCGATCGGTACCACGAAGCGTGATTCCTTTCTTGCAGCCTCAATTTTAGAGCGATAAAAACACCTACCGTCAACTGAAACAATATCCATTTATTTCTAAAGCATATTTATTTGATTATATTGAAATATAAGTTTGTGAATTCCATATTTTTAGTTCTATATTTCAAAATATCAGTGTGAAATTTAATTTTGAAAAACCCGAAACCCGAAAACCAAAAACCGGGTTTCAGCTCGACGGTCGGGGCCCGGGCGGGGACCCGTTTCGACTCAGGCCTAGCTTATTTGTTAAAAACGTAAATATGCAACACTAAAAGAGATAAATGAGTATATTAATTTGAAGAATAACTTCAGTAGTATTCCAGCCCCCTTGTACAGTAATCTGTTTGTTTGGATCATGAATAATAATCAGCTTAATAGAATACTACTTAATTTGTATCAAATACCCTCTCTGAGATATGAAAGTGAACTCTGATTGGAAAGTCACATGGATTGGAAAAGAAGACCTTCGGGTTACAGGTATTTAGTTAATCTTTTTCTTTACCCGCCATCCATGTGAGTATTTTCCAAATGTACTCTTGTTTTCTATTCAATGATTTTCTTTGTTTTTTCTGAATAAATAATAATAATAATGATAATTAGATTTGGTCTTGAAAAAGATGATGTCATAATGATGTAATTTGTATTTGTAGAGATAAAGAGAAGATGGAGAAGATAGTGAAATCTCTTGGATTGAAGCTGACCCCACGTGACCTTAGACATAATGACACCAAGATCTGTCTACAGGCCATCTGTAACCAATGGTTACCCGTCTCAAAAGCTGTTCTCTGTATCCTTACTAAATCTATTTTACATTCATTTTTAATATTTATTGATTATAGATAGAGCTGTCTGCAATCTGTCTTAGCAAGTAGTAAAAATCTGTCTCGAAAATTTTTCTACTGACCTGAGAAGTACTAACTTTGATCTATGTTCACGGAAAGAGAGAGACTAGCTTATGGTAATTCTAACTTGCCTATCATGGAGTTTAAGGATTGTTTGGACCAGCATTATACAGCATAATCTCGATTAGAAATCACATTCCCACATTCTCATGTTTATGTGTGTATTATGCAGGTGTCAAGAATGCTAGCTTGATATTCCAATCTCTCATTGGCCTGCTCATTGTGTAGCTAGAACACAATTTCTGCCAAAATTATTTGGGAAATAAATAATGTATTTTTATTCTTGAATATGCAGTGTAAGATTTACTTGATTGTGTGGAATATCTTTTCAATCGTTATCATTTGAAACACATTTTTATTATGTATCCTTTAAAGCCCCACTGCACTACTTATACCTACATGCGCCCTCTATATATCCAACAATGCCTTAGCCGTTGATCCTCATGAAGCCCTTTTTAATATGTTAAGTGAGAGCTGATTTGATGAGATAACCACCTGCCAGTGACCTTGCAGGGAAGTCTAATCCCTCTATGCCAAATTAGTGCAGAGGGGCTTTAATTGCTGCCAAATGCACACGCTTGTATTGACAAGAAATATTCTCCTTGACGAAGCCATCACCATCCATCAGCCATGATATGTTCTAAGCTTCCTAGTCCTACTGATGTTAGTGAGGAGAGAATAGAGAAACTCATGTGTAGCAGTGGGCAGAGATTTGATTCCCTCCATCCTGATTCGCAACAACTCAAGCAAGGTATGTCTTGTACGAGAGCAAATTATCTTTAGTACAAAAAGTTGAAATAAATCAAACCTTTTCTATTTTAATCTTAGGATAAATTATCTCGCTGATCCTGATAAATTTGAAACATTTATATTTTTATTTTTTTCTGGGGGATCCACAACCTACAAGCACTGCTTTTTAGTGGATCCCCCCCATTTCCTCAGAAATTAAGAAATTCTTGTAATAATTTTATTATGTGCAAAGTTTATTTGTATAGTTTCTTGAAAAAATGAATTATGTATGAAATCAAATGTAATATCTATGTTTACCTTTCTGTTGGAAATGAAATAAATATAAATATGAATATGAATATGAATATAATATATTTTGTGAAGTAATGTCATGCATGCTTTAGTTGTTGCTGCATTAAACAGGCTTAAGATTAGGATGATATATCAAATAAATTTTAATAATTGGTTAAGCATTTATAGCTGTGTAGGCATCATTATAAACAATGTTTTTCTTTCTGTTGACCATGGAGATGATTTGTATGCAAATTATATGTACATATTTTATTTTATAATCACTGCAGCACTGTGGCATAGCAATCTACAGCATGGTTCGCTTTTACAGTCTAATATAATTTCTTTGTATATCTATTTTGACCACAGCTTTTCAGAAGTCGACCTCTGATGATGATGCCCCCGTGATTGTTTACATCTCAAAAATGGTAGTTGTAGATAGCAGTATGCTACCACAAAACAGACAGAGGTATGCTTTATGACACACTTGCCAATACAAAATCAAATAGAGTTCAAACAGATTTTGTATTTGCTCATTAGTCAGCTGTTACACATTTTCTACCAAAATTGTTTGCCGGATGCCAATTGTCTGTCTTCACATTCATTGTAACTTCTGTTTAGTTTTGTGAGATTTTCTTTTATTTCATTATCGGATTCCATTTTGCCATACCTCATTAAAATCTGTATATACAGTCAAACCTGTCTTAGTGGCCACCTCTCTATGAAGACCACCTGTCTACAGTGGCCATGTATTTTGTCTCCCTCAGAAAAGAAATGTATGTTGTAGAACCTGCCTAGAAAGACCTCCTGTCTAACAATGACCAATTTTTCTGATTCCCTTGGGTGACCTTTTCAGACAGGTTTGACTGCATCATATATTCCATGCCAGGAAGGCAAATGATCAACATGAATAGATTAAGTTAAAAGGGTACATTAAAATGATCACTATATTAATTTTAATCCCCAGACCGCTGACTAGTGCTGAGATCCAACAGAGGAGAGATGAAGCGAGGAGGAGGCATGCAGAGAGACAGGCAGCAGCAGAGCAAGAGAAAGAAGGAGGAGGAGGAGGAGGAGGAAAGAAAGATGACAATGCTACTTCTAAAGTTGAAACATCAGCTCCAGGCAAGTGCATATATACTGTTCTTTTGCCAGGGTTCTGGAAGACATCATTTAACATTGTATGGGCTGTGACCAAAGAAAAAAAATCAATCCACATTTTCGGACACTTCGTATCTGCCATCGAAACAGAAAGTGGGTAAACATATCAGGAAAAAAGGGGCCTTTAGAAAACAGGAGTTCCTCATCTGATGCTATTAATAGTATTAATCTTTATGACTAACACTTTCCTGTGTCATCTTGAATTAATGTTCAAGAAACATTAATTCTTTAATTCCCAGTTAACCAACTTTTATTTGCCCCAAGGAGGCAAGCATGCACCCTCCTCCACCTCCTGTACTAGTTAAAATGATGGCAAATATATTTAAAAGATCATATGAAGAGAGGTTCTACCACAATGTTTTCAGTTTTTAATTTTTTTTTTTTCATTCACATTGTTTTAACAAATCAATTGCATTATAAAGATCATGTAAAATAAGAATACCGATTTCTTTATGGCACAGAAAATAACCTGTTAGTTTCACATGCTTTCTTGTATACCACCTCAGAAATGCCAGAACCAATAGACTTGAAGGTAGAGTCAGAAGAAAAGGAGGAGAAAAAGACGGGAGAGATGTTTCTTGCATTTGCAAGGGTCTTCAGTGGAACTATTCGTAAAGGACAGAAACTCTTTGTTCTAGGACCAAGGCATGATCCTCAAAAGGCATTGGCTGAGGTATGTTCCACCAAGTTATTTTCAATATTTGATGTCTTAAAATTAAATTGCAGGACATTCTTTTTATCCAACGCTTCTTTCAACATTCTTCTTGTTCTGAATCCCGTCCTTCTCTCTCTCCCTTTCTCTGCCCCTCTCTTTCCTTCTCTTTTGCCTTTATATATTTCTCTTTCTCTTCCTCTTACTCTCTCTCTCTCTCTCATTTCCCCTCATTTGCCCTTCCATTTTTCTCCTAATTTCTTTGTCTTCTGTTTTCCATTCATTGTCTGTCACATATTTCAGACTTTTATTGTTGATTTCCTGTTGGTTCCTCCTCTTCCTGTGCCCTTTTCTGTTGTTTCTCTTAATGAAAGAATTATTCTATGGTATCTTACTTTTATTATTTATGAACCTATATTGAATTCCAATTAAAAGAAAAAACTTTTCTTTGTTTAAGAACTCTTGATATAATATCATCATATTTGGCAGTGAAAAGTTCCTAAAGCACTTAAAGTGTTTAATAGTGATTTCTGTTTATTTGCTTTCTTTTTAGATGTCAGAAAATGGAGGTACTTTGTCTAACAGCATGGAGTGCAGTCGATACATAGCTGAGTTTACAGTGGATAGTCTATATCTTCTGATGGGAAGAGAACTAGAACTATTAGAGAAGGTCCCTGCTGGAAACATATTGGGTGAGTGGTCCTCTTTACTCTTTATCTTATTAATATATGATGGTGATAGTATTCCAAAGTGTTATGAATGATTAGATAAGTCTGAAATAAAACACAAAAATATTTCTACGCAATGATTAATTAATATTGTTTATCAGTATGTCACTATTCGTCTCTCTGCAGTTTCTAAGAAACTAATCATCTTTTTATTATTACTATTTTTGTTATATCATTAGCCTTTTATCAGAATTAATTTATCGGAAATAATACCTATTTCCATGAGTACTATTCTCCAGAAACATTACAATTTAATTAATTGCTTTCTTTATTCTTGTCCAGGTATTGGAGGCTTAGATGAGATGGTGCTGAAGTCAGCGACCGTTTCCAGCAGTCTAGCTTGTCCAGCGTTCACTGATATGACCTTTGCTGCCCCACCCATTGTCAGAGTAGCAGTGGAACCCAAGCATCTATGTAAGCAACAAATTAGCTAGTGTATCATGAAATCAAGTATAATTCAAATGAAAGTCCCTGCCCTATCAACCTGGGAAGTTTTACAAACAATTTTGAAAGTATACTATAATGCTAATAGATACTTTTTCTTCATCAAAATGTTTTGTTCAACAGTTGATTTATATGCTCAGTCTTTGAATTTACATGCTTAATTGTATATTTTTGTTTTGGGTCTTGTTATCCATTTTTTTTTTTACCCACCTCATGGTTTTATCATTCAGTCTGTAGTTTTATATGGACTAAATTATTTATTATTTTTTTGCAGTGAAGAGTATCTTTAAAATCTTATTTCAATAAATAATCAAGGTACTTTTACCTTTTGCTGGCTTTCCAGTATTACCTGAATACATTGTAAAGTTCCAAGCTCTCTTTATATTAGCATCTATCCCTTTATGATTAGCATCTTTGATTTTTATTTCAGCTGATATGCAGGCTCTGATGAAAGGTATGAAGCTGTTAAACCAAGCTGATCCCTGTGTAGAGGTGTTTGTACAAGAGACTGGTGAACATGTTATCGTGGCTGCTGGTGAAGTACATCTAGAGAGATGCCTGGATGACCTTAGAAAGAGGTATGATCAGGAACCAGTCTTACATTATTTACGGTACATTATTTCTCCAATGATTTCTTCTGTAATGATACTTTCTTTTGAGGGTTTATTGGATATTCATCTTCCTACATTTTTTTTCTTCTAAATTTTTGTTCGTCGAATCATACAACATTTGAAAAGACACTGTAAATTTATTGTTTATCAATTGGGTGAGCCTAAAGAAAATATCTACAGTGACCAAGAATGTTTTACAGTCAATAAGAGTTTATAGAACTGGACATAAAGATTTAGTCTTTGCATAATTTGATTGTCCTTTGTTTATGTTCATTAATGCTTAAACTTTTGTACTGAAACATTATGTGTACATGGAAGAAATTCCTTTAGGGCTCACTCTCAGCAAGTATTTACTTTGGCTTTTTATGTTGTTGCCTTCCATTTATTGATATAAGTATGTAACTGTGTTTAAAAGATCTTTGTCAGTTGGAACTAAATTGAAATCTTGCACTGTGTCCTTCTACTTCTTCTAGGTTTGCCAAAGTCGAGATTGATGTTTCTCCTCCAATCATTCCATTCCGTGAGACCATCATCCCGCGACCCAAGATGGACATGGTGAACGAGGTCATAGACGATATCAACCAGGTACATAGAAAGATCCAATCCATGGGAATTGACACTGATGACATCAGGATATTAAAGAACGGTTTGGTGGAGATCAAGACCTCCAATGATGCTTGTACCTTCCACATCAGGGCTGTCCCTCTTCCAGAAGCTGTCACAAGTTTGCTTGAGGAGAACGCAGAGTTGATCAGGTTACTAGACCACCATATTTCATCGCTGTTGTCTGGGAAGGCGAGCGATCAAGCATCAAGCACAGAACTTGCTCCGACGGTGAAAGCCAGTATGCAGGAACTCAAATCCAAGCTGGAGGAAGCCTTTAATGCAGCTGGGAAGAAATGGAGAGGATGCCTGGATGGGATATGGGCGTTTGGACCACGCCGATGCGGACCCAATATTCTGGTGAATAAGATCGAAGACTACAAGAGGTTATGTGTGTGGGACTGTTTGGAAAAAGGAGGGCTGAAGGAGGAGTGTGTCCTGAGGGAGTTTGATAACAGCATTGGGAGTGGCTTCCAGTTGGCAACCCTCGCAGGACCGATATGTGAGGAACCTATGATGGGAGTGTGTTTCCTTATTGAGAAGTGGGAAATGGACCAGTCCTTGATGAATAAAGGCCTTGTGGACAAAGCAAATCTCAGGACTACCAAGAAACATGACGTTGATGTGGTGTCTGCAGGTTATGGGGCTGATGTACGTGAGAGCACAGAGAAGGATGGATCAACAGAATCCCGATTAGATGATAACAAAGATACACAGTGCAATAGCAGTAGTAAAATGGCATCCCAGCCTAGAACTATATCCATCCCCAAAGGAATACCAACAGGAGGTGTGAACAACCCTGAAGAGACTAGGATAGGATCCCTGACATGTACCTCGCCTCTCTCATCCCCGATCCTCTCCTTCTCTCCCCTAGGCTCTCCACCCGCCTTTGGCTCCCCCTTACCCCACAGCCCTCTCCGGGGTTTTCACCCCTACCACATGCAGCAGCAGGTGGTATACGGCCCCCTCTCCGGTCAGGTGATCTCTACCATCAAGGAGGGATGTCGTGTAGCCTTCCAGACACAGCCACAGAGACTCATGGCGGCCATGTACAAGTGTGATATCCAGGCCACAGCTGATGTGCTAGGTAACTAAACAGCATTAAAAAAAAAAATTATTCTTAAAGAAAAGGTTGAGTTCTGGGAAGAGGTGAATAATAATTTGTGCTTGTTATCATTGTTATTATGCAAGGGTGGAAGAACATTAGATAAAACATGTTCCCTGAAAAGCATGGCTCTTCAAATGCCTTCATATTCTAAATATGGCATTTAACATCGTAAAAATCGGGATGGATTTTTATGTCGTGTGTTCGTGTAGTCCCATATACATCCTTCTGTGTACAGAGCTTGTAACTTGACCAATACTTGGCCAAATTTCTTATCACTTTGATGATTCCAGAACCTTGCAATTCACAAGAATACGTATATGCTAGATGATCAACCTTTTCTGATCGATTCCACATCATTTCTTTCACAATGCAATCGCATGACCAGAACTCAACTTTATCTTTAACTTGGCATCCATGAGCATTGTGAATTGTAATATCTCACCACATGGTGAGAGCCAGAAGGGTATGCATTCCCTCATTTAACACACAGTTAGTGCCATTCTTCCTCTCGACAGATGATGCATAGTAAATATGTATCAAAATGTAAGTGATATTGTCAGAAGTTGTTAGTAATGTATAATTGAGTGTACAATTAAATGTACATTGCTTTTATTCTATCAATGTTCTTTCAAGTTGCCCTGAAACGCAGGGAAGGGATCTATTGAACTTGTATTTATCAAACCGTATTCAACAGAAAGAAAGAGTAATGTTTGCTTGATTCCCACATGTATTGCTCAACTTTGTATATGCCACACAAATATTTTCCTTGTTCCACATTGCATTTAACATGGAATAGTTACACCAAAGGCTTCAATAGTATTTTACTGTTTTTAGTGCAAGATTAATCTATAAACAGTACCTTTAGGTGTTGTCATGGAGCTTATCACGACCAGAAATGGGTAATTTTGCAAAGCGGTTATGTTGCACAGAGAGGCAAAGAAATTAATTTTTGCAGTTTGGAAAGAGCATGCAACTGAATTGATGAACATGTTTAGGTAGATTTAATTTATTCTTTATTTCATAAGATAATGTAATGTACTTTGCACGATTTTAGTATGCTTGATCATAACCATTTTAAGTGTTTATGCATGATATAATGGAATACCTATTTTGTCTACGATTTAATACAACTGAATCTCAAGTTCAAGTTTGTTATAACTAAGATCTCATTTTTGTGTTACTTGTTCAGGTCGGATGTACGGTGTGGTGTCCAAGCGTAATGGTCGCATCTTGCAAGAAGAGATGAGAGAGGGTTCTGATGTCTTTGAGATTGCAGCGGTGCTTCCTGTAGCCGAGAGCTTTGGCTTCTCAGAAGACATCCGTAAGAAGACCAGTGGCTTAGCGAGTCCACAGCTGTTCTTCAGTCACTGGGAGGTTTGTATAAAGCCCACTCTTGACTTGTCTTGGGGGTGTTTCACAAAGATCCTATGTTGAACTTATCTCTAAGTTGGACTTAAAAATGATGGAAAGCCGATAGCATCTTTGAAAATATTTTGTAAAAGTTATTTTAAAAGGCATAAAACGTTGATTCAAATCATTCATATTTTCTATTATCATGGGAGATTTCATGTTCTTGATGTGGAATTTATGAAAAGTCTAAAATACTTGTATTTTTGCTTTAGAATATATTTCATTATAAGGCTACAAAAGGCTCTCAATAATTTTTAACTTAGAGTTAAGTTTGACTTAGAACCTTTGTGAAACACCCCTCTTGTCTTTTATGATATACATGAGTTATGATGAGCCTAAAATCTAAAACTTAAGATTCAAGTGAATGATTTTTTTTGGGGGGGCCGAAATAACCTCAGTAATAACTTGCCAACATGAGACCAGTACAAAATGTAAAGCTTATGAGGCAAGCATGGACAGAGATAAGAATTGACAGACTATTGAAACAACTTTCGGTATCTGTTTTTTTGATTTTTTTCAAATATTTCAACACCCCCCCCCCTCCCCCATATTCAAACCTTGTGTCTGTAAAATACTTACAATTGTGGTTTCTATAGTAATTGGATAACTTGTCCACATCCTGGTTCAATTTACCAAGTATCACAACAGCTGTGTCAACAATTGACCTGTAACCTTTGACCCGTCTGTGACCTTTGACCCGTCTGTGACCTGACCCACAGGTGGTGCCCGGTGATCCTTACTGGGAGCCGTCGACAGAGGAAGAGCTGCTCCACTTTGGGGAGAAGGCTGACTACGAGAACCAAGCCAAGAAGTACATGAACGGTGTCCGGCGACGAAAGGGACTCCGCGTGGAGGAGAAGATCGTCGAACATGCCGAGAAACAGCGAACACTGAGCAAGAATAAATAGATGCGATTTTCACGCTATTGTTTGTTGAGAGCCAGAGGGTCGAACACTATACTCAACTATATGAGTTAACGCTCTTCTACTTTTAACTGTAATGACTTTCTTGCATGATTAGGTACAGGGTCAATGCCATTCTGGCTCTGAGCGGACATTACACCCAGAGAGAAGTTTATATTTTAAACAGTACCGGGGGGATGTTTCATAAAGCTGTTCATAAAGTTACGCATGAATTTACGAATGACTTATATGTGAAAAGCCAAATGGGATGCTTAATCATTATTAACTGCATCAACTAAAGTTGAACTGCAGATGTAGATTAACATTCTTATTATAACAAGCATTTTTAATGCAAAGTGTTTATATATTTTTTTGCCATAATTTAATTGAGGTTATTGGAGATATAGTCACACTTTGTTAGAGCATCAGGAAAAACTTTGGGCATCCTATCTGGCACTTCATATACAATTTGTTCGTAAAGTCATGCGTAACTTTATGAACAGCTTTATGTAACATCCCCCAGGGCTCTTTTTGTTCATTTATTTCCCTTGTTTTCATCTCTGCTGCCTACTTAAGATATCTGGGTCCTGTTTCGTAAAAACTGTTATCTGTAACGAGTTTCAACAACTGTTATAGTCTTCTGAAAGCAAATCCGTCTTAGAAATATAACATTCACTATTGATAACATTTTTTATGACACAGGGCCCCAGTTCTCAGTCCTCCTTCACAAAAATCCCATTTTGTCAGCTTTTGCTTGATTTCAGACCCTGTCTGTCATTGCTCTATTTCCCAGTTCATATTGTATACAATACATGGAGCTACAATGTGTGTGGGCTTCGTTTCAGGCCAGGCAGAGAAAAGCAATAGGCCGTTTTCATAATATAATCAAATTTTATGCACAAATCTAAGGGCTTGTCCTACCTAGCAAAAATGAATGTATGCGATCCGCATTCTGACTATTGAATTACAATCGTTTGTAACAGGTGAATGAAATACTTTGTAACGAGGCACTTCACAAAGATTTGTGCATTAAATTTGATTACAAAACGAAAAATGGCCTATTGCTTTCCCTGTCAACCATATTTGTACATGTGACAATAGCATAAGCTTGTCACAGGTTGTTCTGACATATGCACTGTTATGCTGGGTTAAAGGGATTACAAGATGGGAGGGAAAGAGACTACAATTCTACAAATATTATTTATCAGGACTTGCAAAATGGTCATGGGGTCTAAAGCTAGTCCTTATATGGGCAGTTTAAATGAAATGTCCCTGTAGATTAACCTGTGGTAGCACAAGTCAAGTGTGTATATTGATAGCGTTACTTTTCAGTGAAATCCCAACCATTTAAACACTGTTTGTGGACTAACTGGAAAAAAAACAATAATGTACTCAATGTGCATTTAAACACAAAACAGGATATTGCAGATTTAAATGTAAAGAGTAGTGACTTGTTGACTTTTTCCAGGTCATAACATGGTTTTCCTACCTGGCTCTTTAATTATACATAAATTCAACTTAGTCTGGAACATAAAAACAATAGGATCTCCATGTCAAACATCATGTTTCACACTGCAGAGGTGAAATAAATCATATTTTCAACTACATTTCAATATTTGATCCTCTCATATTTGGTGTTTATGTAATCATTGTATTTGTATTATGTAAATAGAAATGATGAAGTTTCACTTGAAGGAAGAAGTATATGTAGAGATTTAACAACATAATGGTGATAAATAAAACTGAAGGAAAGCTAAAGTGTAGTGTTATGAATAATACCATATAATAATGAGAGGATTAGTCCCTCAGAGAGGACCTAAAGCCGTCGGTCCACTGGTTGCTTACTAACAAGCATTTATGCTTTATTAGCAGTCGGGTAAAATAGCCACCACAATAAACGGCATTGTACCAATATTTCTTAATTTATTAAAGTAAGCTAGTGAATGCAGAGGTGATAATTCATGGAAATAGGAGAGAAATATGAAATAAGAGAGATAGAATGAAGGCGTAGAGAGAAGGAGAGGGGAAAATAAGTTTGGGATAAATGATGAATAGAGAGGGGAAGATAAGTTAGGGAGAAATGATGGAGGAAGGAGGGGGACTAGAGAGAGAGAAAAAAAAAGTGGGAGAGGGGGAGAAACTAAACAGAGGGTAAATATAGAAGGAGAGATGGGGAAAGAATGCTAGATGGAGAGAGAGAGAGAGAGAGAGAGAGAGAGAGAGAGAAAAGGTGTACCGGTACTCTAGAGAGAGGGTGTAAATGGAGAGAGAGGAAGAGAGCGTAAGATCCAAAGTTCGAGGGGGGGGGGGGTTTAAATGGATCACATTGAGAAATATAGCTTTGTATTTGAAACGAATCTCAAATAATTATGATCCATATTTTTGATAGATCGATATCTGTAGTGAATGCGTGTCGATTATACATCTTTGGCAAAGTGACACATTTCATTGTGAATCATTTACCTGATATATTCGAACCATGTTCCCTAACCAAATCACTTCAGTTACTCTTTCGAGAAAGAAAAATCTCTTTTAGGTTAGATAATATTGCCCCATCCTTGATAAAATATAATTTACTTACCCATTGTTCATTTACATGGAATCTGTGTTTTTCTTAATACAAAAGGGGCACGGAGGGGACAATTTGGATCAAATTCGAAAGGGGGAGAGCACAAGGTGACAGGTGACACGGGCCGCTGTTCCCCTCCCTAAAATAGACAATAGAAAGGAGGAGGGGGTTGTATGTCTCGGCACTTCAATAACAAAACTTATGCTGTCATGTTTGCCTTTGGATTTTCCAGGTGACTGAATTATGGACAGCACATTCAGTAATTTGTCTGTCTCGTCAGCGCCTTTGCTGAGGCAACTAGATATTGCCTCTCTACTAATTCACGGATTTGATTTGATTTGATTTTGTGAATATTTGCAATTCATGCTAGTATAATCAAAATATGATATATTATGTCTAAAACTTCAAATGCTGTAGACTAGCTACAAGCCTACAACAAAGCCCTGATATTAAAATTGAACACCCTAGAGTGGGCGTGTGGGTCAAACAAACTTTACACTCAGGAAATTGTCATTTATTTTAAAAGGCAGCTATGAACGAAAGGTTATTATAAATGTTTTGAAAGAGTGTTATATCTCGAATCGTTTGATATAATTTTTGTGTGTTATGTGTTCACGTTTGGATGAACAGGAGGCATTGTTTGCGAGAGCGCAAATTCGTCTTGCGCAAAAGTATTAAAGTGAGAGAATGAATTGAATGTATCAAATGAGATGCATTGCATATGCTTTTTGCAAAAGCAAAGTCACACGCAAACACACACACACACACACACACTTGTTCTTTGATATTTGATATGACTGTGTGGCATGATTCATTTTGTTAGGGATGTTATTTGGTTCTGCAAAGACCGAATTAATACCCACATCCCCATTTTAAACATCACATTTATTAGCAATACTGGCGCAAGTCGATTTTTGCACTCTCTTTACAATGTCTCTAGTTCATCCAAGCGTGAACACATACCACACACAGATGATTTTGGGGGGATAAAACACTCTTTCATAAGATGTATGATAATTTACTGTTCATATAGATGATTTTAAAAATAATTAGCACTTATCTAGGTGTAAATTTTTTTTGAACCCACACTGTATACTTATATAATTAAATTCATAGTGGTCATCTTGTTTATTATTACAAAAGCATCTGACCAAGTCATAATATGAAAGTTCAATATCCCAGAGCGGTGTAGGTTAATATACTTACATGATTGAATTCATGATGGTCTTATTGTTACCGTAACAATAGCATATGAATACGAGGTGTCGGTTTCAATTGACTACGCACCTCAGATTAATTCATTGGCTGTCCGCACCTCAAGTTTATTAATTGGACTTTAAATTACCGACATAAAATCCTTTGTTAACGGCTTGGATCGCAAGGATGAGAGAATACGAAATGTAATTTCTATCCCACCTCTCCTCAGAAATTATCATGTACGTTTGGCAAGTCCATTTATCATTATCTAACCGGAAGTGTGTGATCACCTGCTTCAGTGTGATCAATCACTAAGAAGGGCTTATTGTATTATTAATACCAAGGTTGTGATGAAGAGTTCAAAGACAACAATAGACAAAGAGGAATACTGAATATTTTAGAGAGGTTGCAACAAAAATCAGTCTGCAATCATGTTTGCAAATAATCGATCAGGTAACACACTTCATTTCATAAGCTTGTGTTCACTATATATTGGGTGATACCAAAGAGATTCAATCATACACTGCTCGCCTCCGAAGGGTAAGTGCAACCATGTATAGTCCGGGGTGAAGAGCGGCAATGCTTACCACAGCATCGTGTTACCGTCAAATGGATTCCAATAAATGCACTTCCTTTACTCTAGAAAAAAGAACGTGAGGATTCTACATGAGAAAGAGCGTGGTGATAACGCACGAATATAAGAGGGGAGAATACAAAACATAGTTGATCAACCTGTTAGAATAGATTTAAAAAATAATAGTAATAAAAAAGGAATAGATACATGTTGCGCTAATGCTCTTTAATCTACCTTGAGAAATGATCCCTATTCCGGAGGTTTATTTCACACGCGCACGCGCACACACGTACACACTCACACACACACACCACACACACGCACACAAATATACACACGCACAAACAAAAAAGGAAAAAAAGAAGAAGCTTTCTATCTCAAGGATAAATGGTTCAGTATATTGAGAATCACCATCTTGCCTTAATTCGAGTAAGAAAAACAATCTCCACGCATTCTACCTACGAAATTAGGCCACGCAGATTAACCTCTTATTTCACTGCAATAACCATAGCAATACCATTCTTTTCTCTTTCTCTCAAAATATAACGAAGGCATCTAAATTAAACCGATCTTGACCAAACGTATTGAAGGCCATGTAAAATCGTGCCTTTTGTGTTGGCGTGTTCCTTTGAATGGAATTTGTATTGATTAATTAAAATTGGAAAGATCGATAGCACTTTCAGGCAACAATGACCGTTGCTATGTTTTATGATCTTCTCATGGTCAAGTACGCGTTACTATGGAATGCCATTAATGCACCTGCCACGGACGAAAATGGTGTACATTGGTCTTCCCGGCGTTTCCGATGGCAGTACTGGTTATAGCTGATCAATTTACTTCGGTTCATTACAAATTCATTGACATTTGGTATAAAAATTGTTTTCTTGCTGTAAATATAAATGTGTATGCTGGAGTAGTTTATTCTCCGATCGGTTGATCGGCATCAGTTGCTAGAGCCTTTGGGCGGAACAGACTGTATATACAATTAGTACACGAATGCCCGATCGGCATCTCGATCACCATCTCGATCATCGAGCATGATAGCAACTTGAAGTATTGTGGTCCCCTGGATAAGTCACTCTCCGAACCAATGTATCGGGTTCAAATCCCTACCGCAGCACTTACATCATATTGCATATCATAAATCTACATTTTCGTATTTCAGATTGATATGCTGTTAACAACATTGCTGATTTCAAACAAATTTTAAAAAGTACACAAGCTTTTGAAACTGGTAAATTCGGTAGTAAGGGTTTTATTGCTAGGGCAACAGATATTCATTTACAATGTTCAGATTGATAAAACAGTGTTTCTCCTTAATAAATCAAATGATGATCGCTATCTACCAACATTTTTTTTTTAAATCGAGTTTTTTTAAACACATTCTATAAAGTTGACAAGTTTAAATTCAAGTTTAAATTTATTCCATTTATTTATTCAAAAAAAGTACATTTACACACAATACAGAACGGATCGCGGAATAACAATACGTGAATGAGGAGACATGCAGCTTATAAAAGTCAAGAGTCTTTATCAGTGCTGCGACCGAAAAGGGGTTATTACAGCATGATAGGGGAAAAAGAGAAAATTACGTAAAATACGACGAAACCCAAAGCAAACAAAAATCAAACATTGGAAAAAAAGAGAAAAAAAATTTGACAAATAAATTAACCTATAATACATGTATTCAATTTTAGGGATTTAAAGGGACTTGGTAACATTGTTCAGATGAGAGAAAATGGTGCTAAGGGACTGACTTCAATGCTATAAGTACAATTAAAGATATTTTGAAATTATATTCTTTTTTTTTCTACATGTAGCCTGGACATTAGAAATAAAAAAGCACTTTCTAAAATGTCGTTTTTGACGGACATTTCCCTGTACATATTTGATATCTCCTGTTGTTTCCTGTAATATATTTATACATAATAATGTAACAGTACATCCTTTGCATGTATATTATCTTGGGTAGCAGTGATACATCATAACTACAAGGCCGGCCGAGAAAAGTTCACCACATAAATCCCAGGTTGCCAAAATTATTATAGAGTCTAGAGATGCTCTTAAAGACACTTGACAGCGTAAAAGAGGGAAATTTAATTTTTGAGATGGCCAGTGACGTCGATAATCAAGAGCTGCTTAGGAAATTCCATCTGTTCACTCCAGCTAATAATGTATTATTTACACGACGTTACAAGCAGGTACTGATTGAGTTTCTCGAGATTAACGCTTATATTATCTTTAGGAGGGGCCATGTTTACAGTAACACTGCAGAGACAGCTTTATGAATGATTGTCAAAGATTTGTAAAACTAGACATGATTATTCTTTCGGATTGTATCAGGATTAAATTTGATTCGTTTACAGTTCAAACGGGGTATAGAAATATCAACTTTCTTAAACAACAAAATTTAAGCAGACACTCATAAGAAATAGAAACTCGTATCGGTGAAATAGATGAGCAACGTCTTTTTTCTCAATGGCATCGTACCTGGAGAGGTGACAGAGTCCCATCTGGAATTTAGAAACATATCACATAGGGCGTTTAAAGAGAAGGTTGAGTTCTGGGAAGGGGTGAAAAAATAAAATGTGAGTGTTATCATTGTATTATGCAAGTGTGGAAGAACATCAGATAAAAAATGTTCACTGAAAAGCAAGGCTCTTCAAAATAATGCCTTAATATTTTAAATTATATGGCATGTAACATCATAAAAATCGGGACGGATTTGTATGCCACATGTACGTGTAGTCCCATATACATTTCCTGTGTACAGTGCTTGTAACTTTACCAAGACTGGGCCAAATTTCTTATCATTTTGATGATTCCAGAACCTTGCAGTACACACCAAAACTTATAATGCTATATGATCAACCTTTTCTGATCGATTCCACACCGTTTCTTTCACAATGCAATCGCATGACTACTGGTCTTATCTTTAAAGATGGATCGGTAAAGAATTGGCTTAGACACGTTTGATACTCTCGGGGGTGTCATAACCGAATAGGAGGGCATCCCTGGCAAGCCCCTGACTGAAAGAAAGATCTCTGTATTGTCCGTTGGCTAATTGTGAGTAGAACATCTGAAGAGTATCTCCCTGAGAGCTGTTAGTTTGTGGTTTCACTTCATTTGGAAAAATCACTCCATCTGGTATGTTCAGTAGGTCTATCAGGTAATCCGAGTCGTCTTTGAGCGTCTCGAGGTGGCCAATGAAATCGTAGTCGATCTCGCAAGGATAACAAAGTTCCATCATGTCTTCCCAATGCGGATTTTTGGCATCTGATTCTATATAGTGCTTGACAAATTGTTTAAATGTGAAGTGATCCGAAGAATTCATGTTTTTCACCTCTTGAGGATCGTGCTGCTTGTACCATCTCTCAAGCTCTTCCCGTACTTTAATATCCTCACTGAGCAGTTTATTCTTGTACGCAGAGAGGACTCTGGAGTATGGATTGCGAACGAAAAAGAACGTTGTGTACGTCTTTAAGATTCTCCGCGCATCCTGCAATGGGAACGATGACAGCTTGGGAAATACGCGCTTACTGTGAACGACTGGTTCAGATGCATCGTTCTTCGTCGCTCTCAGGAGCAATCGTCTCCAAGACGTCGAAGCCACCTTGGGGATGGGGCAATAGATTGCTTTGAGTTCAGGAATTACATGGATTCGAGAGAACTTCTTCAGAGTGCTACGGTCTAGGTTCTGAATGACGAAGCGTTGCTTGTATCCCACGGCAGCACATCCTTGTCTCAAACGCTCTCTTCTTGCCATCTGAATTTGTTGAACTTGTGACCACTTTGTTGTTAAGTCATGTCAGAAAAGAGAAAAGAAAAACAATTCCGATTTTGATTATGTTTCAAAATTAAACAATGGAGCTAATATACAGTACAGTAACTATGAAATCAAACAATTTATTACGTATTGCGATGTACTTAATTTACAGGTGTCGTGGTCGCCGGACTGTGGATCACAAGGTCCGCGGTTCGAGTCCCGCCGCGGCACTAATCACTAATGTCCTTTGGCAAGACATTGATCTACATTTGCCACACTCAACCCAGGTGATTTAATGGGTACCTAGCAGGAATTAATTCCTTGAAATGCTAGAGCCCCGGCTAAAGCCAAGGTAATAATCGGGAGCGTCAGGAGTGTCAAGTCTGATAGACATGAGCGCTATACAAGAACCCACTATTATTATTATTATTATTATTATTATTATTATTAAAGAAAAAGAGATTTATGAAGGAATGTTTGAATGATGTAATCACTATACATAATGGGTAATTCAACTTAGCTGAATCAGTAATGTCACCGTGACGCAGTGCCCGACAAATTTCCCATTTGTTTCAACACACAAAGTGATTAAAATTGCATTTTTCCCTAATGTATGACTCAGAAGGACCTTTTCTTTTTCTTCTCTTAGAGGACCTTTATGATAACATGCTATCTAAAATATGTTTTGAGTTGTGCTTAGGAGAAAAACAGAAATTACTGACATTTCTATTGGCCAAAATCAAATATTCGACAAGTACTAAATGGTCGTTATTTTCCCACTAAAAGCCATTTTCAAGCCCTGCCGTTTTAAGAAGTTCTAAATTAGTATTGTCTTACAAATGTCGTTTGATTTGAACCTTTTCTTATTTTGGCGAGCAAATGGGACACAGTAGACTCTACTTACATTCTTGGCTTCATTGGTCGTCTGATCATGTCTCCTCTCCGGTGAACCAAGATGTAACTCGAACCAAACTAAACAGGACACATGAAAGTGATAATAACATTTATTTACTTCCGTTATTATGTATCCATTAAAAAAAATACTCAATTAACAGAATGTGTACATAGGCCTACATAATAACATAAGCATTATTAATAGAAATACAAATTTAACGAAAGGAAGAAGGCGGAAATCCTAAACACGGCGAATATAAGAAAGAAACAGAAGAATAGCAGAAGAAAGGGAACGAAAATGAATTCAAGGGAGAATGAATTTAGAGAAAAGAGGTTGAAAACTGACGGCAACAAAATAACTGGCAGCTAATGTGTAACTGTAACCAATCATGTCCCTGCTGTAAATGTGTAACTGCATATAATATTTATGATAATAAAGGGGCAAGATTTGAGCGGTAAGAACAAGTATTTTTTAATAGAAATGATACTGGAAATATAATCAAGTAAATGCTAAGTCCTAGTCAGCGGGTAACGAAAACGACATTTTTCTATGTGACTACACTTATTAGTATTTTTTATCGGGGAGTAGGGGGGGGGGGGGGGTAACATCCAGTAAAAATGGTGACCCTTTTTTTTCCAAGAATATTATTTCGGGGATAATTCGATTTTGTTTTTCTTCAACCAATTATTGTGTACGACATAATTATTCTCATAAATCTTAGAGGTCCAGTGCTTAAACTAAGAAATACAAAACAGCATTCTTTTCATTGCTAAAGAATGAATTCGATTTTTTTTTCTTCAAAATAAGTTTCAAGATTTATCACGAATTATTGAAATTCAATTCATAAAGTGGGGCCTATCCCGCACGGATTGATTGAATGTTTTATTTTTCAATTATTTCAAATTCAATCATTTCGTGTGGCATAAAACTCGTTATCGATAATTAGTTACAAGAATTATTATAAGTTACTAAAATCATTTGTTAAGGTTAATTTGTCGCGAAAAAGCGCAGAAAAATTCGAAAAGGGTGTGGTTTTGACCAATGGATATTTATCGTTTAGGTCTAAAAAATAAATTATTTAAAACGTGTGGATACTAATGCATGGTTGTGTACATCAGTATATTCTGACTGCCCCCTCCACGGGAGATTAATGCACTTACCTAATGGATGATCATAAGTTACGAAAAGGAGATGGAGAATTGTTAAGAAGATAACCAAACCGATGATGGCGGAGATAGTCTTCTTCCTAGAACCCATCGAATGGAGGATAACTAGATCTCTGCAACGGTGCTTCAAATTCACGAAGACGGCATAAACCAAGGAGAACTATACACTATGACATGGTCCTCCAGATGCACCAAGATAGAAGCAACATAGAAGAGCTTGCATTATTTTGTCCAACGCTCTATCCCAGAATGGAAAAGCCTTCCAGGTATGTAAAATTCACGCAGTCCAGAGAACTTCCAGGGACTACTCACGCATGCATTGATTTCCTCGCACCGCTTCATGAAATCTTTAGGCTGCATGGACCGTTAAAGATTACTAGAAGAAGAAGAAGACCTACAGTGTACATGTTTCCATGGGCTTTAATCAAAGTTTTATTTACCCGTCTTGTTGCTAACAGAGCTGAGCAAACAGTAGAGTGTGTATTAATAATTAGTCTACAAGCACTTACTCTATGCAGTCTATAGTTTCCAACCTACCTTATGCCAGTTGATGATGAACATCTCAGTCGTTATGGGTTTGGAAGTAATGGAATTTAGCTTTTCTTGAGCATGTTCTTAACACACAGTCAAATTAGACCGTTATCAGAATTGAATACATAGTTTCGCTTCAGTACTCGTATTGTAGAATCAAAGTGTAAAGCAAAAGGTATTTTCATCTGTATAGCTTTGTAGATGTATTTCAAAGTAATTCTTATTAATCTATAATTAATGTAGTTAATTAATTCATTCATCTATTACCTCTTTTGTATATGGACTCTATATCATTGTAATATCATCGGAAATCGATTTTGCCGAGATCATTTTTTTAATATAAATCAATGAACAAATTATCTTTCTATCTACCTACCTACCTACATATCTATCTATCTATCTATCTATCTATTTTCTTTCTTTCTTTCTGAATAAATAAATGAATAAACAAATAATGAACAGTATTTTGGTTTTGTCTGTTGGGGCCTGCATAATATCGTCGTAGAAGAAGTAGAAGTAATTATATGTATGAGATATGCCATATTTGATTTGTTAGGGAGAAAGGGGAGGGGGCACCGATCCCTGTTGCTCCTGGATACGCCGCTGTTTACCTCGTGATTCAGTAGCCTTACTTAAGACCCTTTGAATGACTGAAGTGTTGACAATACGTTTCTATGTGCACTCTCTCAAATCACAGTCCCTTTAATGTACAGAGTGGTATACACGCACAAAGCCTTACTGTTTAGTAGTTCCATTATACAACGAACAGGAACGTTGGTTTGTATTTAATGGTACTAAATTTTGGCGATATTTGTAGCAATTTCTTTGTAGCAATTTCAAAGGCTTAAATGAGTAAAGAAATTAAATGGAAATAATCTACTTTATTATATGAATTTTGTATTCAATGTTTGCTTGTGTATCTAAAGATTTTGTGTAAATTAGGATGAAAATATTTCTCATCAGCTCTGATCTACAAACAAAAAGGAAGGGGGAGCATATATACATAAGCTTCATGCGCCCCTACAGGAAACGACGGGTTTAAACAAAAATGGTATTTAAAACATGAGCTGGTCGAAATAAAATGGGCCCTGTTTAATAAAATTTGTTCTCAATAACCAGCTATTTTTAGCACTCATTATTGGTAACCAGTTCTATGAAACAGCGCCCAAGCGCGCCAATAAACCTCTTTCTTTCTATTGTATAGTTAAGTGCTCTTACGTAACGGAATTAGCACTCTGAAGAAAGAAGAAAAAACAGAGAGGGAGAGCGATAGAGAGAGAGAGAGGGGGGAGGGGCAGAGTACAGTGTGTGTGTGTGTGTGTGTGTGTGTGTGTGTGTGAGAGAGAGAGAGAGAGAGCGAGAGAGAGAGAGAGAGAATGAGAGAGGTGGAGTACAGAGGGGCGGAGTACAGAGAGAGAGAGAGAGGGGGGGGGGGCGGAGTACACACACACAGAGAAGTGAGAGAGGGAGATAGAGGGAAAGAGAGAAAAGCAACAACTTAGCACCCATGAACCTGAACTTGAACGACTATTACACTTTTTATTTCCTTCCGGCATATCACATCCTTCTTGTTTCAAACACCTGTGATCACCAAGAGACACATTTGTCAGGTGTTTTCACTCGCCTGTCCAAACAGAGTTAGTATAACATTTCTCAGGTCTCATACCTCAGCCAGTCAACCAACCGAACCGACTCTAACCATGGACCTACTAGTAGGTCCATGATCTAACCCGAATCCATACCGACCGATTAGTTAGTCCTGCGCGGTGGTAATTTAGTTGTTAACTTTGTTCAGTCTCTCATCGGTCTGGTGTCGGTCCCTTACCACACCAACGAGCCCGATCCGACATGAGACCGACTACAGACCTAACAACATAATCACAGTATCCCTTGTGATAACACATATAACCGATTGAAGACGATTTAAAGTCGGTTCGGTTGTGTGACTGAATTGGTAGGTCCCTGCATGATTATGAATGATGTATATCACAGATAAAAACATAGGCCTATAGTTAGTGGATCTCTCTCTCTCTCTCTCCGTCTCTCAAATCATGTAGTTCACCATTCACTTTGAATCTAAAGCACAGCGTGCATGATGCTTTGGGTTGCTCTTGGCAACTGGAGAAGCTCCCCATGAAACTACGAAGAGAGAGAGAGAGAGAGAGAGAGGGGGGGGGGGTTATAAATGATAGACATGGAAATATATATCATAATGCTGTTTTCATAATCAAAGGAATTATCAAGATGATAGTTTTCCTAATACTACAATCGAATTAAGACGAAATATTTCTATCTAGTTGGCAGATTTTCAACTTTTTATTCTTCTATTTTTAATGTTAATATGGGGTGGGTATCATTGAAGAAAATATCTCCTGAAAAAGGATTGCTCATTAATTTCCCCCATGTTCACGTCAAGAAATATGCACATTAATTAATGTATGTAGTAGGCCTACGTGTGATTTTCAGCACGACTAAATCTTTAAAAAAAAAATCAATTGACTATTCCAAAACTTCAGAGTATTCCCTAATTCGTATATGGTTATGATAATCAACCATTTCCCAGTGTTTCCAGACTGTTTCTTTCACTATGCAATCGCATCGCCATTGATTGAATATCTTGGTGTCCAATTTTTCCTTTTAAAATATTCGAATCATAACTCCCCTTGCGTTATGTACCTCTTCATGTTTATTATTAATGGCCCTGACTACATATCTGTAACGGAAATCAAGATGTTATTTCTTCTGCATGCGGAAACGGACTACAGAAATATACATCAATATATATTTCATGTCTGACTACATTGGCCTTCAACTTGTTTATTAGCTTACCATAATATTACTCTTCCTGTAAGTACCACCTTCTATATCAACACGTCTAGGTACTTACGATAAACACTCGCCCACTTTCGCAATGTTGAAGCATGAGATCTAAAGCTCCAGTCTAAAATAATAATTTGAAGTCTTATTGTTTTTGGCAATCTCAATAAGGAGTGTAGAAAAACATGTTCACGTAGCAGCAGTATGGCGTTTCTAGAGGGTGACTTGCGGTGGGGGCTCAACCCCCCCCCCCAAAAAAAGTCAAAGGGCACATGTAGAAAATGAATGCAAAAACCACGGAGCCCCCCCCCCTAGAACCTCTTTTAAAGGTAGGTCCTGATCATGGGCGTAGCTACACTGACTACGATGGGCAAGGTGGGCACATGCCCTTCCATCAAATGCGAAGAAAACAAAATAAAATTAGAGAGAGTGAGAGAGAGAGAGAGAGAGAGAGAGGGGGGGGGGGGGGGTAAAAAGAAAAGAAAAAAAGATGGTACAACCCCCTTTTACACCCTCGCATCTGATGGCGTTGCTCTCTCGTATCCACTTTTATTCATCCATCACAAGGACGTCCCCCACCCCCGCCCCATTTCTTTAGGTAGTCCCCATTTCTTTTTTCATATTGAATAATGTTAGGCACATGTTAAAAATGCATGCAAGAACCCCAAGCCCCCAATGGCACCGTCCCAAAATATTATTGTCAAACCACTCCTGTCGGAGGGAGGGGGAGGGGGGGGGGCTATAGGGTAACTCTTTTTTATCTCCAATTCTATAGCTCATTGTTTATCACACGTAACTGGGGGATGGTGACAAAACAAGTCCATATCTCCCTTAGATAACGCTATACCTTTAACATTTTTTTTCTTCTCCATATTAGCGCCTGAAATAAAAGTGTATCCAATGTCATGGTCACACAGATTCACATACCAATATAATGCTTTGCAATATATCAGTTGTAACCATAATGCCTACTCTGTGGTTGCTTCTATGCTTCTAGACATTGCATGTATTAAATAGACCATAAGGCAACTTCTCTAGCCTTGTGCGTCTCATACTGAATAATGTGCAAACCTGAAAACCAACAATGATAAACAGTGGGTGTATTACGTAATCTGAGTAAAGGCAATGAAGAAGGGAATAAAGTACCGAAGCTGTGACCAAAAAATAAAAAAAACATCATAAAAATCTATTTTTAGAATTTCTCAATTTTTTCTTCATTTTCCGAAAGAGCATCAAAAATAATGTCCAAATGTTAAATACAATTGAATATGTCAAGTATTGGCTGAGACCATCTGAATAAATAAGTTTCCTATAACTAGGAACTCAGTGTTATTTGCTCTGGTTCATAACAACTAGGAACCAGAGCAAATAGCACTGAGTACCTACAGGAAACTAATTTATTCAGATGGTCATAACAGCCAATAATTAATATATTTAATTGGTTTTCGACATTTGGACATTATTTTTGATGCTCTTTCGGAAAATGAAGGAAAAATTGAGAAAAAAAAAAAAAATTGATGACGTCACACTTCACCACTCTAATTGGAATCGCCCTTGAATTTATCTTGAAAGTCTTTGCGATCGTGTTAAATATAGTTTGCGAAATAAAGATGAAATGACATGACATGAAATATCCATACATTAAAGATAAAGGTGAATTCTGGTAATGCGATTGCATTGTGAAAGAAAAGGTGTGGAATGTATCAGAAACAGTTGATCATATAGCATGTAAGTATTGGTGTGCATTGCAAGGTTCTGGAGTCATCAAAAACATAATAAATTTGGCCCAGTCTTGGTAAAGTAACGAGCACTGTACACAGAAAGATGTATATGGGACAACACAAATAGTGTCGGGGCGACTCACCTTGATTTCCTTGTCTTTCTATGCTCATTGCTCAGCCAGTTTTTTTTTGTAAGCCAGCTCAGCCAGACATTTATTTGTAATCTTGAACATTCAGTGTAAGTTTCGTTTGATTCTGTGAGAATTCATTTTTTTATTTTTTTACCAGAACTCAAGTTTATCTTTAAATGCCGTGGTGAATAAACATTTATTTCAATTAATTTAATAATGTACACA